GCCATTCAAATCAGCATGGCTCCTGAAGCAGCATGGCCCTTGAACACCAACATGGTTCCATCTGGTAGCCCAGACCCCTGGCATCAGCATGACCTTCAATGGAATCAGGAGCCATAGACCTTATTGACACAGACCCTGGCTGTGGTAGGGCCATGGACCTAGACATGGCCCCTAGTTGTAGCCTGGGCCTGGATGTCAACATGGCACCTTGTGGCAGTGCAGGCTACTCAGATCTGTATGGCCCCAGCTGGAGCATGACCTCAGATCCCCACATAACCTCAGGTGATGGCCCAGATTCTGGGTATTTGCATGGCCTTCGGTGGTTATTAGGAGCCATGGTACAAGCCATGGACCCAGACATGGCCCTATGCCATGGTCCAGGCTCGGACATCACCATGGCCCCCAGAGGCAACACACACCATCCAGATTAGCATAGCCCCAGCAGCATGGTCCTTAGATACCAACATGGACTCAGGTGTCTGACCATACTCGTCATCTGCATGGCCTTCACTGGTTACTGAAGCCATGGACATCACAGACCCTAGCTGCTACAGGGCCTCGGACCCAGACATGGCCCCCAGCAGCAGGTCATGCCCAGATGTCGGTTTTCCCACAGTAGCAGCACAGGCCACTTAGATCAACATGGTTTTAGTGGTGGCACAGCCCTGGGATATCAAAATGGTCACAGACACTGAGCATCCCTGTGGCCTTGGTGGTAACATGGGTCATGGATATCAACACAGACCCTGGCTGAAATAAGACCATAGACCCAGACAAGGCTTTAGACAACAGCCTAGGCCCAGATGCCATCTTGGCCCTGGGTGGCAAGCAATCTGCCAACATCAGCCCATGCCTGCTATTCAAAGAAAGAAATTTACCAACAAAATGATGAAGGAAGATTTCAGCAATTAAGAGCACTTGCTGCTGATAAAGAGGCCCTGGGTTCAAATCCCGGCACCCATATGATGGTGCACAACCACCCAGCTGCAGGGGACCTTTTGCCCTCTCCTGGCCTCTAATAATGTATCTGGCATGTACACACATTATTATAAACAAATATTTAAAGAATGAGTGGGCAAAATAACTGAAAAGAGAGTCTAAAAAAAATCTAAATGAGATCCACAGGTCTGCCTGATGCCATGTAGCTTAGGTGGGCAAAAGATACCCACAGAGTAGCCTGGGTCTTCATAGTCTAGGCTGCCTGAGGTGGGAGCCATTATGATGAGCAAGTGTATGGTGGAGAAACGGGAGAGAAAGAGAGGTGGAATGGTTCATGTGCTGTGACAAGAGGCAAATCTTTTGCCCACCTAAGCTACATGGCATCAGGCAGACCTGTGGATCTCATTTCATGCCACCTGAGAAGTGCATGTATCAGTCCTGTGGGCTTATACTGGCAAAGGACTGTCCATCCTATATCTGTCTTACCTTTTGAAAACAGACATTATTGTCCTCTCCTGCCACCAGAGATACTGCATGTGTAAGGATTATGGGCTATGACTGGGCTATGACTGTCCATACTCTATCTGTCTTACGTTTTAGGCACAGCTTTTACTTCCTCTCCTGCCACCAGAGAACTGCAGGTGTCAGGCCTTGGGCTTAAACTGGGGTAGGACTGTCCATCCTATATCTGTCTTAAGTTTTAGAAACAGCTTCTATCTTCCATTCCTGTGACCAGAAAACTGTACAGCACTAAGGTAGGACTGTCCATCCTGTATGTGTCGTACCTTTTAGGAACAGCTTCTAACTTCATTTCATGCCCGAGAGAACTGCAGGTATGAGGACTGTGGGCTTACATGGGGTAGGACTGTCCAGGCTCTGTCTGTCTTACCTTTTAGAAACAGCCCCTGCCTTCCTCTTCTGTAACCAGAGGTCTGCATGTGTGAGGCTGTGCTTGATGTCCTTCTTTGCTTTGATAGTTCTTTGTCCTTCTTGTTTCAGGTGCCATTGAGCTTCCCTTGTAGAGTTTCAAAACACTTCCTCTCTTTTTGCTTAGAATGAGCTTTACTTTTTTCTTTGTATCTCCCTTCTTCACTTACTCACACAGAGGTAGCCTTTATTCAGTCATCTTACCCAGAAGTCCTCCAAGCTGGATCTTTTTTTTAAAGCCATGAAAAGGGAGATGCAAAAGGAAATGTTGCCCTTTCTGATGAACTCTCAACATGGGCAAAATAGAACCAGGAACATTTTTTCATCATAAACTGTCACCATATGTCCTTCAAATTCATATTAACATTTCAAGAATGGACCAGTTAAGAGGCTGCAGAGAAACCTCAGTAGGTAAAGTAGGTACGTAAAGTACTTTCCACACAATCATAAAAGCCGAGTTTAGATCCCTAGTACTCATGTCAAAAAGCCAGGTGTAGTGGCTCACACTCCTGCTCCCAGTGCTGGAAAAGTGGAGACAGAAGGCTCCTTGGGGATTCCTTGCCATTCAGCCTAGCTTAATTATCCAGCTCCAAACAAATCAGAGGCCTTATTTACAAAACCAAGGTTGATGGGGCTGGAAAGATGGATCAGTGGTTAAGAGCACTGACTGCTCTTCCAGAGGACCCAGGTTCAAGTTCCAGCACCCACATGGCAGCTCATAACTGCCTATAACTCCAGTTCCAGAGGACCCAACACCCATGGCAAAACACCAATGCACATCAAATAAATTAAAATAATTTTTTAAAAAAGGTAGATGGCGCCTCAGGAACGACATTAGAGCTTGAACTCAGTCCTCCACATGCACACATGTAAGCACACACATAAACAAATAATGGACTGATTAATTATAGAAGGAAACATGGCAAACACAAGCCAAATTCTGTCTGGAAGGTCCAATCTTAAAATCAGGCTCTTGTAAATAGAAGTTTCTGTCCTGCCAGCAACTCCCAAATATCCAGCAGCTGCTTCCCAATTTGCCACACAGAAGCTTATATTAATTATAAGTATTCAGCTGGTAGTTCAGGCTTATTACTAATTAGCTTTTACACTTACATTAACCCATAATTCTTATCTATGCTTAGCCACGTGGTTTGGTATCTTTTCTCAGTACTACATTCTCATCTTGCTCCCTCTGTATCTGGCTCGCAACTCCTGACCTCACCCTTCCTCTTGCCAGCATTCTTAGTTTGGTCTCCCACCTGTACTTCCTGCCTGGCTACTGGCCAATCAGCGTTTTATTAAACCAATTCGAGGGACAAATCTTTACAGTGTATGGAGCATTATTCCACAGCAGGCTCTAGGAAGACTGATACCAAAAGAGCCTTCCTGAACATGCTCAGAGTTTAGAAAATGTTACCTCTGTGAAAAATGGAAACCCTTGTGCAGACTTGAAAACCATAAACAGATGACAGTGATCAAGCATGGTGTATCCCATGGATAAGTAAACTGAAGGATAGAAAAAAGCACGTGAGCACTGGGGATGTAGCACAGTTGGTAGAGTATTTGCTTAGTATCCACAAGGCATTGAATTCAAACCTCAGCTGAATACTGTGAAGGCATGTGAGAAAAGACCAAGAGGAAGTGATACAAATATGATACAAGTATACCAAAGGAGAAAAGTGAGTGATAATGGGGAAATAATAGTCAAACAGAAATGGTTGATAATTTTCCCCCAAAAAATATCATTAAGTTTAGAACTTATACCTAGATACCTCATTTAGTAAATGCTACAGGACAGCTACAACACAGACACTGCTAGAAGGCAGTAGAGTTGCCAAGTTTTTCACAGTATACCTGTCTGTGTCAACTGCAGAATGCCATAACACATTTTGAGAGAAAAGAATTATCCTCCTAGAGTTGTATTCTTAACCAAAGTATCATTAAGGATAAAGTTACAACAGATAGACCTCTGGACTTCCAGGAAGCTCCTTCAAGAAAAGCTTTGTTGCTTCAGCTGCTAGATAGCAGTCACATGCTAAAGGTCAGCGATGAGTGCCTTCAGCTATGACCTGCACTGCAGAGAGATGATTTCTCCAAGATCACATATTCCCAAACAGACCACCTCCAGGACTGATCCAGGTGAGTGGAGCAGTGGCATTTGTTCTACATAAAGGCAGACCAGGTTACTTTCAGCATTCTGCTTGGGATCAAAGAAGACTTTTGTTGAACTACATTAATGACACACAACTGCTTCTGCCAACACTGACTTCTTTCTGTCTCTTTACCCTAACACTGACCTCTTTCTGTCTCTTTACCCTTTCCTTAGGCCTGTATTCTAAATAAATTTCATGTATACTAAATTCCATATGGAAGGCAGCTTCCTCTGAACTCATGTCGGTTTGTATCTAAGTATTTTGGTACATGCATGCACACGCGCATACACACGCACACGTTTAGGAATATATATATATATATATATATATATATATATATATAATGTACATATACATATAAAATATACATATATGAATATTTAGACACACATATATAAAGTGCCTTATCTGTCTCTGTCTCTCTCTGTAACAACAAAGAAGAGGCCATGAATTTGAAAGAAGGGAGAAATGCATGGGAGGAGTTGGAAGAAGAAACAGAAGGGAGGGAATGATGTAATTATAACTTCAAAAAATAAAATACATATATTATTATTTTTTAAAAGACCGAGTAATGGCCCAAACTTGCTTAGATTAATTTATGAGACTTGAATTACTGAACTCAGGCTCTTGAAACGCACCAGAACTGGAATATGTGCACTTTAAGAATTTTTTTTCTTTCGATTGTGTCTTTCAAAGCCGTAATGGTGTGGTGCCAGTCACCTGACATGATCCTATAATATTATAATGTGTCCATGAGTATCTTCCTCTCACAGAGAAACTAGAGGGCTCCAGGGTTCCTATTGCCAACCAGGAGATTAGCGAACCACATTGAGTGCCCATTCTGATTGGGTAATGTGTTGCCAGGCAGAAGAACCATCCAATCACACTCAATATGTATATTGGATTCCTGATAGGTTTGTTATCCAATCAGATGTCGAGTTGGTCCATCACATGGCATAATGGCACGCGCATAGTATGTCACCTCAGAAACTGCCATTTTCTGACTTCGGTCATGGCCACTTCCTCGATCGCCCTGGCAGGTGCCTCCGCTATGGCCGCTGTGGAGGAGCCAACTGCTGTGGAGGAGCCAAAAGCTGTGGACAAGCAAGACTCTGATACATCTAAGAAGGCTGTCAAGGTCCGAAAGCCTAAAAAAGTCACCTCAGAGAAGGAGAAGCAGCCAGAGAAGTGTCGTCGCTCTCTCCGCCTTCTCCAGCGCCAACGTATGAAGGAAAATGAGCGCCGAGCTGCCCGCCTCTTGAGACGCCGTAGGAACAGCTTCGCCATTTATTTTCCCAAGGTGCTAAGAAGAGTCCATGTGGGCTTCACCCTTTCGGAGCAGTCCGTGCGCATCTTGGATTCGTTTGTGAAGGATATGTTTGAAAGAATCGCCAATGAAGCAAGCAACTTGGCCCGTCAAAACAAAAGCTCGACGATCAACTCTAGAGAGATCCAGACTGCTGTGCGTCTTCTGCTTCCTGGCAAGATCTGCAAGCAAGCAGTGTCTGAAGGCACCATGGCCCTGGTCCGGTACATCTCTAGCAAGTGAATGGCTTTGACTTTCAACAAAACCCAAAGGCTCTTTTCAGAGCCACCACTTCTCCTAAGAGAGCTGTAGCATCAGCTCAATTTTGACCTTAGGGAGGCCCCACCCGCACCCCCTGCCCCTTCTTCGAGCATCCCCAATTCATTTTAAAAATAAAATGTTGTTTGTTAGAATATACACTGACTCCTCCAATTTATTTGGAGTTCCGCCGGCCAAGTGGTAACTTTTTCTTAGATTGTAGTTTGTCACTTTTTTTCATTTTATTGAAAAGATAAAGCAGAACAGCCAGACACAGTGGACTCTGAGAGAAAGGAGGGTGGAGTCAGAGGAGTCCCCAGGAGCCATAGAGGGAGCAGGACATGTTGGAGGACAGGTAAAGACACAAGCTACTTGTGGCGGAATATAGATTAATAGAAATGGGTTAATTCAAGTTGTAAGAGCTATTTAGTATTAAGCCTGAGCTATTGGCTGAACATTTATAAGTTAAAAAAAGAAAATATATTTTTTCCTCATATAATATATCCTGATTATAGTTTCCCCTCCCTCTACTCTTCCCAGTTCCTCCCCACATCCCCTCCCATCCTTTTGTATATCTCATTAGAAAACAGACTTCTAAGGGATACTATATAACATAAATATAATAATATATAATATAATAACATAATGCTATATTATATAATAATGTGTAAATAATATATAATATAAGATAGAGTATAATATAATATAATAAAACAAAAACTAACATCAAAATTCACAGAAGAAACAGAGACCCACTTGTTCACACTCAGGGCTCCCATAAAAACATTAAGCTTAAAGCCATAATATATACACAAGGGATCAGTAGGATAAAGAAATATATATATATATATGTGTGTATATATGAATATATATAAATTAATATTTTTAAAAAAAAATTGAAAAGCTCTGACACAACCTTGGAAGCTGGGACTCCAAAGTTTCCATTGAGTTAATTTTCTATTAAATACCTATTGCTAGGCATGGAGCCTACACTTAAGAGTAGTTTGTTTTCCCAGTGAGACTCCCTTTGAGGAAACTAATTTTTCATTTATAAGTAGTTGTCAATTGGAGATTCCTTCTGGGTTAGGGATGAGGACATGTTTCCACTTCTCCTTCTCCTTTCAGCCCTAGGACCCTACCTGATGCAGACCTGTTACAGGCCCTGTGCATGCTGCCTCAGTTTCTGTGCCTTCATATGTGCATGGATCACATTGATTCAGGGGGCCTTATTTTCTTGATGTTCTCCATACCCTCTGGATCTTACAATTTCCCCTGCCCCTTCTTCGACCAGGTTCCCTAATCCCTGAGGGTAGTGATTTGATGGAGACATCCTATTTACAGCAGATTGTTCCAAGGTCTCTCACTCTCCACATATGTCTGGCTGTGGGTCTCTGTATTTGTTCCCAGTTGCTTCATGAGAAAGCTTCTCTGATGATGGCTGAGTCAGGTACATATCTAGGAGTATAGAAGAAAGACATTAGGAGTCCTTTTTATTGTTACTTTTTTTTTTTAAAGAACAGTAGTATTTGGTTATTAGGTCATGGGCTATCTAATAGTCTCAGGTTCTTGTTCTCCCAAGCAATATTGGGAATAGGTTCCATTTCATGGCGTAGGCCTTAAAGTCAATAAGATACTGGTTGGTTTTGCCCACAACTTTTGTGCTTCTATTATACCAGCATTTCATACAGAAGGGTCACCATTGTAGATAAAAGGGTTTGTAACTGGGTTGGTTTTTAGCTTTTTTTCTTGTAGCATACAGAGTACCATCCAGTACCATGTATACTATTCAGTAGGAGTGAAGGCTCTAGTTAGGCACCAGCTTGACTTCTCTGGGAGATTTATATGCTTTTTTTTTTTATCTTTTGCTTTATTCATACAAGTATGTGGTTTTAGAACATGTAATTACATTAGCATTCTTGAAAGCACTTCATCCTGGGTGCCTTTTCTGGTCATTGCTGTGGTCCTTTCATATATATATATGTAGATATAGATATAGATATATATAGATATATAGATATAGATAGATATATAGATATGTTGTAGAATATTATTATTTTTTTTTTTTTGGGTTTTTCGAGACAGGGTTTCTCTGTGTAGCTTTGCGCCTTTCCTGGAACTCACTTGGTAGCCCAGGCTGGCCTCGAACTCACAGAGATCCGCCTGCCTCTGCCTCCCGAGTGCTGGGATTAAAGGCGTGCGCCACCACCGCCCGACGTAGAATATTATTTTAAGGTGTGTTACATTTTTTATGTTATTAACATCTGCTTTAATAATGTAAAGATGTGTTGCATTCTTTTTTTTTCAGAGCTGAGGACCAAACCCTCTACCACTGAGCTAAATCCCCAATCCCATGTTGCATTCTTTTATGTTGCATTTGTTTAACTCTGTGAAGCTGTGATTCTTTGACTGTCTAAAACACCTGATTGGTCTAATAAAGACCTGAATGGCCAATAGCAAGGCAGAAGGAAGGATTGGCAGGGATGGCAGGCAGAGAGAATAAATAGAAGGAGAAATATAGGAGGAGGAGAAGGAGAAAGAGAACAAGGAGAGGAGGACTTCTGGGGTCAGCCACCCAGCCACCCAGCTACACAACCAGCAATGGAATAAGAAAGGAAGAAATATATACAGAAATAGGAAAAGGCAAAAGCCCAGAGGCAAAAGGTAGATGGGATAATTTAAAGTTAAGAAAAGCTGGCTAGCAATAAGCCAAGCTAAGACCAGGCATTTATAATAAAAAATAAACCTTTGTGTGTGATTTATTTGGGAGCTGGGTGGTAGGCCCCCAAAAGAGCAAAGAGCTAAAGGACTAAGAGTAAAAACAACCAACAGCATATATATATTCATAGGAAAATCACTGTCTCTGCAAAGTCAATAACAGGTTCTCTCTGCCCAGGTTTCTTACGATTTCTAAACAGGCTATCCTTCAACAAATCCCACACCTCCTGCTACAAAAATGTGCCTCTGAGGCAGTAAACATAAGGAATAGCTTAGAAAGCTAGTGCTTTTCTTGGCTTACACTATGCACATACCCTTCTCCCAATAATGCACTCAGCACACTGAGGCCTTTAGCTGCGTGTACTATGCACACTCACCTCTTTCTAAGCAAGCAGCTAGGGACCTATTAGCAACTTAGGAACCCAACCTCCCTAAAGCTTCACTCACAATCCCTCTCAACAATAAAGTATGCTTTTCCTGCCCTTAATAACCATCAAATTTAAGTAGATTCCATTAAATTCTGCTCCAGTTTGTCCAGATACAAATGTAAGTGATCTCATCCATATTGGTTTTGGGTGCAAATACAATAAGGCAAACTGTGTCCTCAAAGTGAACTTTTGGAAAGAATCCATTATTATTATTATTATTATTATTATTATTCATAATTGGGTATCCATATTATCAATATCAGATGCATTATAGGAAGAGATATGCACAATAGTGAAATAGTTATATAACTTGAATCATTTACTCAAAACAGAGAACCACCAAAGCTCTACCTCTTAGCAACCATGCTCTTTAGGGTCCCATAAAAAGGACCCTAAAATATTAATTAGGTCCCTTGACTGCTTTTACTCATGTGTCCTGCTGTCACTCTTGACAGTGAACCTGACCTGTTCTGTTGCTTTTCTTTGAGAAACGTTTCCTTGCTTCTTTGGGATCAGGTTAGCCTTTGTTTCAACTATTTGAGTAAGAGGCCAACAACACGGAAATACCCAGCCCAGATACTGACCACCAGTTTCCCAGAATCATCGTAAACCCCAGGCTTAGCCAGTTCCTTCTCCTGTAGGATCCTGGACTGTGGTATAGACCAAAAGAGAACGTCTCTTTCTGTTTTTCTTCATCCCTAACATATGAGGCACATCTGAACTAAGAGGACAAGTTGTACTTGTTGGGTCTGGGAGTTGAGGGCCAGGACACCAAAATTAGATGAGCAAAGGCAACTTTATTCCATCACTGTGGGGTATCAGAACTTCTAACCAGTTAGGGCTACAAGCAGGCTGGATACTGACACTGTGACCCCAAACAGAGGGAGTAGCTACTTTTAAAAGCCAAAGTCACAAGTAGGGGTGTCAGAGGTGATATAAGAAAAGATTTTTTACAATTTGAGGTTAAGTCTTGGGTAACGGTACATTCTGGGAATTTACAACTTGTGATAACATTTTACAACTAGTAGTACAATTTGTGATAAGTACAAGCTTAACAGGGGGGTTGTAAAAGCTTGTTTACACAAGTCTGTGGTTATCTTAATGCAGCTCTTGACACAGCCGGGATCTTGTCTTAATTTTTAACCAACTGTTCTTCTTGTAACTGCAGAGAATATGGGACAAGGGTCATGTGACAAGAGAAGTGAGGTAGGCGGCTAATGTTTTTGAATTATTGTGGACTCCACAGTGCTCAACCCTACATGCCCCCAATTGCAGTAGTCACTGATTTTCAGCCATTCTTCCACCTGTGGTCCTGGACCACTATAGCTCAAACAAGTTAAATTTCTGTTGGAATCCCTTCAAGTCCCATTCCAAACTTCATCCTTCTGTTTTCAGTTTTTCTGTTTTACCCTTTGTTTATCTTGTGTGCACGTGTATGTGTATGGGCACTTGCTACAGCACAAGTGGCAAGGTCGGAGGACAACGTCACACGAATCGGCTGAGGAGCTGACGAGGTGAGGAAGCCATGTCTTGTTCTGCTTCTCTGATCTTTCAGCATTCACCCTGATCCCTGGCTCCTGAATGCCTTTTATTAATAAGACCATTTAAAAATCGTCTACAGGACAACAGTTAAAATTGATTCTCTCCTTCCATTATGTGAGTCCTGGGGACCAAGTTGTTACCAGTCTTGGTTTCAAATAAGTTTCCTCACAGAGCCACCACATTTATTCCTTTCTTTAAAAGAGATTGTCTACTTAGAGAAGTCAGAATCCAAAACCACTTGGTCAAAGCAACTCCCTCCTCACCTGATAGAGCTGCAGATCGTTGTTCATCATAGTCAGATGACCTAATAGGTAATTCTTCTTTGCCTCCTCTGAGGGGGCTAACCATCTTATCCAAAAATCATGAACACTTTCAGTGGTGAAAAGAGTGTTATGTATAATTGTGTAGGACCAAATAGGT